ATGAGTATGAGTATGAGTATGAGTATGAGTATGAGTATGAGTATGAGTATGAGTATGAGTATGAGTATGAGTATGAGTATGAGTATATTATATGAGTAGGTATGTATAATAATTAATCTCCTTAATAAAGAGAGAGATGGAAACAAACTTGAAAGGGAAATCTTCTAGAAAAACAGTTGGTGAGGAATTGCAATGCCAAGATTGCAAATCATTCGGTATGAAGGAGATGGAGAGGGGGATTGGATGAGCGAGCAGGGATGTGTGGTTAGTTGCATGCATGGTTGCAGGGATGCAGGGATATGGTGATGGTGATGGTGATGGTGATGGTGATGGTGAGTGAGTAATAATAACTTGAAGAGTTCAGTGGTTTGAACTATTTTACCTACCTAGGTAGAATAGAATAGAGGAGAGAATAGAAAGAATTGTAGGGTGGGCGATTGAGAAGAGGAATGCAGTTTCTTCTTTTCTTTTTCGTTTTTGTTTCGGGACCTCGGAGTTGGGATTGGATTGGATTGGATTGGATTGGATTGGATTGGATTGGATTGGTAGAGTAGCTGGAGGGAGGGGAGGATGGGGAGGATAGCAAAATGGAATGAATCGTTTCATTTTTGCGATGTGGTACTTGTTAATTCTTATGATTAGGTAGGTAGGTATTTAGGTGTTATATGAATATTGTTTAGATTTAGTATATTTAAATTTATGTTTATATTCATATTCATGTTAATATCAGTATTATTATAAAAACGAAAATGATATAATCATCAATCAATCAATCAATCCACCATTCAATCCACCACCCAAGTTAAAAAACCAGGATCCAATCCTCCTTCTCGAAGCAAGCATGGAACAAAAAACATTCCTCGTTTCCGATGCCACTCGGTTAAGTTTAAGTTGCTGGGACGGTTGCCTGCTGCCTACCTACCTGTCTACCTGTCTATACTACCGAAAGCGGCAGCCCCAGTTGAATCAGCTACCTAGTAGCCAGCCAGCCAGTCTCTTTATCCAAATTACATTACTCAACTCCAGCCGTGTCAAGTGTCGAGTGTTGAGTGTTGAGTGTCCATGCTGCTGGCTTGGAAATGGGGAATGGTAAATGGGATGGGGGATGGGGGATTTGCTAATGATGCGTCGATCGGTGGATGTGAGATGGATGTTTTATTTATTGTATTTTATTTCACGGTATTGGGTAACGAGGTAGGCAAGCAAGCAAGCAAGTCGGAAAAATCTGTGCTGAGCATGTTGCTTGCTTGAAGCGCGTGGAAAGTAGAAGTTGTGTGTGTGTGGACGGATGGACGAAGGGATGAAATAGATGGGCTTGGTTTTGTATCAGGCTGAAGATAAATGGATGAAGTTATTTCTTTACTTTTCTTTGGGTATTTGAGTACAGCCTTGAAATAAGAAAGAAGCCTTAGATCCGGTCGGTGAGGTAGGTAAGGCAAGGCAGGCAAAGCAGAACAAGGCAACGCAAAGCAAGGCTACGATCTGCCTACATTCATTTACACAATACAAGCATATCATATCATATCATATTCACCTCCATCCTTCACCCATCCATCCATCCAGCCATCCCTCCACCGCCTTTTCTAGCTCGCTACCTAGCTACCTATTATTCGGAAAAGTATCCAGATATATACATACATACATACACATTACTATACAATATCCCCAGCTCAGATCAAAATCTCACCAGCCGCTGCTTATCTGTCTGCCTATTTTCTTCTTATTGGCCCCCCACCCGCCAATTTCATCATCTCATTTCATTTCCAGAATGTAATGTCTCATGCTTGTGTTGATCATTCCACACCACACTTACTCACCACTTACACATTACATCCATCACATGTTTTCGCGCCCGGAGGATCGCCAAACAGGTGATATCGTGTTAGTTCGTTGCGTTGCGTCTCGTATCCTATCATCTGGTTGAGTCATAGCAAGTGAGACTAGCTCGGCCTTGGTGAGAGTTGGATGACATGATGCTGCTTCTGCATTGTTAGTGGTTGTGATGACATACATGATGATGTTACGCCGCTTTCGTGTCTAGAACATTTGTAGAGGGAGCTGGGATTTTCAATTTTCATAGGATGTTGCTGCGAGTATGAGGAGGCTAGAAGTAGGAGTAGGAGTGTGGAATCGGCTTTAGGTCTCGAATTGTCTGGGTGGGGTACACATAAGCAAGTATACTATGATCAGGTAGGTAGGTAGTAAGAATTACAAACGCAGGTGGCGGGTGAAGGGACGGGAAGGAGTTGATGACACGCAGCTTGGATCATGAGAATTAAGACCGATTGGTAGGCAAAAATCCATCAATCTTTCTCGCCCATCTCGCGGTGTGTAAGAATGATGAGATCAAGTGATTGATATTTTTCACCACGTCTCTGTGTATCTAGTGATCTTCTATTCTCTATGACCTTGGTTTTGGTTTTGGTTTTGATTTCGCCATCGAGAGATTTGTATATGTTGCGGGGGCAAATTCATGCGGAAAATTTGAATTGGATTTTGTGATGGCATGTATTACTCCGAACTCCTTTTGGAGGGAGGATCGAGGATGTGGCGTTGAGATTTGATTTTTGGGGGTTTGAGCATGTGATTTGATGATGGATCGGGGATTAGCTGGATAGAGTCTTTGGAGAAGTACGTATGTATGTAAACGTCTGGTTTTGAGGAGCTGAGCTGAGATGAGTGTAGACACTTATTTGTTCAGGATACTTGGAGTAATTTTCCTAGGCGAGGAAATGTTTGGATTGTGGAGAGGTCGATGGGGATGGATTGTTCATTTGAAAGAAGTCTTGGGAATAGTTAGATAATACAATATCTATCAAATCAACGCATTTTGAATTCAAAACTTAAGAAACGAGATCAAAACTATTCCATCTCATCTCAAGTACCCGATACCATTCAATGTAAACCCACCGTCTTGCCCCTAGGAAACTGTCAAGGTATTGTAGAATCGCAATGATATTTCAAACGGAAATACGGTGATAAGATTTATAGAATGAATGAATGGATGGATAAATGAAGCCTATCCAAAAAAATCATAAAAATCTCCTTTGCAGAAATCCTGCGCGCATCTGGGATGATATGATGTAATGTAAACGTGTATGTTGTATATTCAAGACTGCGTCTCATGATGGATTGATTCAACTTCGAACACGGACATAGATATCAAAAGTTCTGGGAATGTTGAGTCTATCGGATATAATCTTGCTGGGTGGTATGCTGAGAGATGAATCGTTTGGTGGGTTGAGATGAGATGGGTGGATAGTTGGGGTTCTGGAGTGTGCTGGGTTGTGTGTCTGGCTTTCTTGAAGGCTTTCTTGAGGGGTTTGGTGGATGGATGGGTGAGGAATGATGGATTGTGCATTGTGGATTGTGGTGATTGATTTTGTAGTTACTGGTTCGCGATCAATACTCGAATAATACGAGACTTGATCGTTACGAAAGGATAGAGAGATAGAGATAGAGATAGAGATAGAGATATGATATGATATATATAACACCAATTAGTATATATGTGTAAGGAGAGCAGAGCGAAACGGGATAATTCAACGATCTGTGTATATTCTCTTATATATACGCAGAGATATGTATACAGTGTAAAGAGAAATAAGTAAGTGTGAAGGTATAGGAATGTTGTGGATGGGGTTATATATCTATCGTTCTATTTAGTTGATACTATTTCACCATCAGAGAAATTTTGGAATTAAATGTGTTAGGGAGTCATAGTAGAGATGATGTAGTGGAGTATTTAGATGGTTATTTAGGTAGTTATAGTGTGTTTTTCATGATCGGGATACATGAGGGAGGGAGTTAGGGGGCTTAGCGAGAAGTTAGAGAGCTGTGAGATATAAGATATGGGATATGAAGCGTGTAGATAGGATGATTGATGTGTGTGCTAGGGCATTTTTGTAAAGATTAAAGTTTGTTAAACGGTGGTAGTAGGGAAGAGTGGTATGGATGGAAGAAGGGAATAGTAAAATGACAGGGAGGTGGTGGGAGAAATAGAGGTCTGAGGATAGGGGGTATGGATGTGCGTATGTTTATGAATGGGAGCTGTGAAAATGGGGCGAGTAGATGAGTACTAGTTTCGAAATTAGATGGCGATGAAAGAAAACTTGATGATTTGATATTATGCTCGAGCAAGTACCAATAGACATGTAAATCTGTTAAAAAAAAAAAGTCAAGTGATAATGAACACCAATCCAGTAACCCATCATCTTAAAACATGTCCCTTTCATCAGCATCGGATTGTCTCTCATTTGTTTCCCAAGATCCAATATTTAGCACTCTATCTGGGAAAATCTAGTAGTTCTGAACCAGTAGATTTATCAATGTCTGTCATTCGGAAAGTATAGGTGTCTTGAAGTTTGAACTAAACCCTGGATTTGGGATTGTTCGTAGCTAGGACGATGGAAGGGGGTTTGAAAGCCGAGAACGTGGGTACTCAGCACCCGGCTCTAGGAGAACAAACTCACAGTGATATGCCCTGGCTAGTAAGTCGGCATGGTAGAAAGCTTCTTCTACATTGATCCAAAAGCTCCTCTGATGTGTGTTGGAGGCTTTTTACGTATCCTCATAAAGCAGCAAACTCAAACAGCGACATCACACCAAGTTTTACATTTGGCCATTAGCTTTGAGTAAGTCATCATAGCATCTGGTTTTATTGCGCTCTTGAAAAGTCTCGAGCGATGCAATAGTGCATACGACGAAACGCATAGTGACTGGTCCATATCTGGTTTACGTGAATGAACGGTATTCTTCACAAGTCAAGAAAGGCTTTGGGGCTATTCACTTCTAGCATTTTAGATTTTTGCCAAAAAAAAACTGTCGTGTAATACGGTAGCAGAATCTTCCAAATGGTAGATTGATGAGACTTCCAAATAGAGTGTAGTTGACATGCTCAAGCCTTACCCAGGTACGAACCGGATTTCAAGATTAGATAGATCACCCAAGGGTCCATTCTGATGAATAGGTGGTATTGGTACATTGATTCTCGCTCTAGCCTACTACCAAGAAATAAGTTATCGGTTGTAGAAAAAACAAGGCCAGAATCGTAAACAATGTAATAAAGCAGACGCCCAGCCCTGAAAATGTACGGTATGCATACACGCTATCCGTACTATAGAACAAGTGAATATTGATGACGAAGATGTAGAACAACTTGTTCGTATTCTCATCAATTCAGTATGATCTAAATGGAACAGTGGAGGAATAAGAAGAAAATCATTTTCAGAGAGAAGCAGCAAGGCTATGAGTAGAGAATCAACCTAGACCTATAATCGATTGCAATTGAACTGCACGTCCGGCCAAAGCTTGAAGCGAGCAGAACCAATGTCTCTCATAATTTGAACTCAACCACAACTAGCTCAACCATCCAATCCTTCAATGCATCTTAACTTCGAGTCCGTGGGTCCCAAGCATACAGATAATGAAGTGGTAATTATACATTTTGGATGTACTGACGACGCTACATAATCAGGGGCAAGGACCTTCAGTACAAATACATGCACTGTATACGACATATTTTCATGGGCTACGATGCTATTTCAAGCAATAACAACGCGAGCACGATCTATGCAAAGCACATTCTGAGTCGACATATAACGCTGACTGTCCATCTACATTCATAAAGTGACGTAACCAAGATACTTCATGTGCAAGTTCAACTTGAGATACTTGGTGCCGCAAATACATCCACTAATTGCGTAGGAACCTTCATTACCGACAAACGTTGGACGTTCCAGTGTTTGATTAAGCAATTGCGGATGTGAAGCTGTATGATGCGGCTCTGGAAACCTTCCACGGAAAGAGATTCAGGGGACATAAACGAGTCAGCAGAGAAATGCTGGGAAGCTACGATTGATAGATGAGTAGCTTTTGTTGATTTTCTCGGTTTCTTTCACTCAAAATTTCCTTGTTTCATGTGAACTTTATTCCACCCGTTTTGCAAAATCTGACCTAAACACTGATTATCCTCTTCTTTTGCCACTTTTGATTTGTTACATGTCATTCAGACCCCCGTTTCTCGTAGTGTCCACTTTTCTTGTTGTAAACGAGCCTTCTTGCAATGTGCATTTTCTTGAATGCGGATGTGGCTGTATATTGGACATGAATTCTCTCATGTGTATTCCGACTCGTCAATAGCGAGATAGCATTCGGTAGAACTCTGTTCCTACTTCATCAACAATCTTAGGAAAATTTCCCTTTTCAGGTCTGATGATTGCGTCTGAGTGATCATCTGAAAAATATCTTGAAGACGTCAAATTGCATTTAATTTCGGGGGTATCATTTAACTCGGATATCGTACATATATGCTCTCCGCGATTGATGATGCAGCTCAAGCATATTCTTCGTCCTCCACTTCCTCCATCTCGACGGTCATTTGACCACCTTCCTCAGTTTCTTTCCTTTGCCCAGTACTACCAGCGATATAACCTTCTTTTTCTAATTTTTCCATCTCTTCCGGTTCCATCAAACCACCTTCTCCCTTTCCCTTTTGCATTTTCATCCTCACAGCCGCGGGAACAAAAGCCACAGCTTCCTTTCGTAAATCTCGTATTTGCGGTTTCGCTTCATATACTGTCTTGACTTCTTGCTGTACTTTCACACCACTTCCAGTATCCCGATTACCAAATTCCCCACGATCCTTTCCTCCCAATGGCATGGAATTCGCGCTTGTGCCTCCACTCTTCTCGCCGTTTTCATTTTGATTCCGTGCCTGATACCGCGCCCGTCGCGCCGCGTACCATTTATCCAGTACTTCTTTGGGGAAAGGAGGTGGCGTATCCCTTGGCATGGGTATTCTCTTAACTTCTTCGTCCACATCCGACCCACTACTCTCCTTGTCCATGTCCCCATCTCTTCTTCGTTTGCCCAAAACACCGCTCCCGCCTCGTCCCCCAAACCCTCCTCTTCCTCCCCTGTCTCCACCAAACCCACTCCTCGACTGCGAAAACTGAGGTGCTGCATCGCCTAAAGATTCGCGCGCTTTGTTTACAGCTTTGATCTCCTTCTCTAATCCTTCTACCAGCGATCGTTCATGACTTGTGAGTTTCCCGCCAGAACTTTCTATCTTCTTGAGGTCGTCGAGTTGGGATTGTAGACGTTGTGGATTTTTCTTGGCGAGTCGTTCATTCTTCTGAGCTTGTAAAGATGCCTTGCCTGAAGATAAGTTAGTATTATGCTCGAGCTAATAGACAATATTGGCAAATTGAATGGTTGATTGCGTACTTTTTTTGATAGCTTTTGCCTTTTCAGCTTTGCGCTGAGCTTGTGCGGGATTGACAGACTTTTCTTTGGGCATTGCGGCTATGTATAGATAGTGCCAACTAAAAAGTCTGAGATAAATTACAAGAAATAGTTGGAATGGGTTCGAGAATTGCTTGGAGAATTTGTGGTTTTGAAGATCCGGGGAGTCGTCGATATCGCGAACTATCATTCTGCCAAAAGGCGGTGAAGTAGCATAATTTCAACTTCCAGTTACATGTCGGAGAACCGCATCTCATAGCGCAAAACAGAGCAAAGCTTTTAGAACTGAATCGATAATCAAAATTGTTTATTATTACTTGAGTTTTATTCCCAGCGTGTTGTCAAGTTCACCTAGGTAGGTAGTCATAGACGTTGAAAATAAGATGGCATAAATTAATCATTGCATTTCGTTTAGCCATCCACATTATTCCTGTGATTGAGAGCTTCTCATGTAGATAGATAGTTTGGTCTCAAAGTATTCTTAAGTTAAATTTTGTGCTCAGCTTCGTGAAGTTTTTTGAGTCAGATATCACCTCCGCCAGGTCCTTGCTACCCACATCTGAGGTGCTAGTTATTTAAGGTCCGGGTTGATAAACAGGTTCAAAAAACATAAAATTTGAGACTCGAGGTCAAAATTCGTCATGCGCAAGCATGATACAACTCCGAATGATTGCTGAAAAGCTTCCTTTACCTCTTTCAATCTGAGAGACCCAGATTTATTTAAGCCTCTATGAACATGCCAGTCCAGGCCATCTTCCGTATTCCTCTTGGTCCAGCCCAATTATTCTACTGCCGAAACCACAGGTGCCTTGGATAATCGCCATCGCCATCCAGCATCCAGACAATGAAGTCTCGGTAGCAATCGACCGTTTTCGAAAGGATAGTATTCCATGTCATCCATGAACCAATCGCTGAATCTAGACAAGAAATCTTTTTCTCACGATTTCACCGCACCCTCCATAGCATCCCGAGATAGAGACTTCTTCGACTTCTTTGAACACAGTCAAATCTCGCATCCTATTTTTGAACTAGATAATCAAGAGTCTTTTCCGACACACGGATCTGTTTGATTCGACAACATTCTTCTTAGTAATGCATGTGACGGCTCGGGTAAGAATCTCGGAATGATTCCCAATCAAAGACAACAGTGTCAAGTTCGTAGTTGAAGTAAATGGTCGAATTGACTTTGGTACGAGTTCCAAGACTTATTTCATATTTGTGAAGAGCTTCGGCTCGAGCTTCGCGTGAAACGAGGAGTAAAGCTGGAACATCCTTCGAGACGCAGGATTTCTTTGTGTAGTTGTATCGGACTACTTCAGCTCGGGGAGATATTGCAAGACTCCAAATAACTAAGCGAAGCTCAATCGGAAGATCCGAGAAGGAAGTACTTGATTTGGGCGGTTCCGACATAGAAAAGATGAATTTTGAGTGTCCTGGAAGTTTGCTTTTTCAATGTATCTCTGGAAACAGATACATGTATTGTAGATGTCTTTCGATCCGGAAACGACAGCCTAAAAGACGAGTTGAATGGAACTGCATTGTAAGGTTTCTCGCTCGCAATTTAATCTGCCTCTGAATAAATCATCTTCTCAACGTGAATAAGTTCTAGAAGAGAATATTAGCACGAATAGAACAATGGATCAGAAGCTGGATGCCAGCATCGGGCGCCCGTTGACATTTGGCTTGATACTGCGCCGGTATTCAACCAATCACAACGCGTATACACTGCGGTTGAGCTAGCTCACTGCACATTGTTGCAAGGTATGAACATGCGGATGTTTGTTCTCGAAGAGAAGCTCCTTATTTCAGCCACAGGTCTTACTACGAATTAACCAAATCAGCAAGCTGTACGAGTTTACGTGCACCTCATTTTGTGATAAAGAAAGGCTTATCGTTTTTCCCGCTCTCTCGCTCTTGTAGTAAAAACTGATTCCGACGATAATCCGCAGAAACGAAGCAACGTTATTCTGCCGAGTCTGCTTTATGGTTGGCTACTCGTTTAAGAAGCGAAATCTCGTTAGGGAATAGATCGAGTAGAATTCTGAGTAGTTGTAGCTTGCGATTGTTTGATTCTTACATCTACCCGCATCTATGCATTCTATAGTAAAGAATCCTGTGATGAATAGGGTGTTTTCTGAACCCTCAAACATAAAACTACAATACCATTCAGGAGGCTTCGAGATTAATAAACATGAAGTATGATAAAAGCAAAAAGGAGACAGGCAAGACGCATATTGATTCACTGATGTAGAATCAACACCACAGAGTAGCTTCGAAACCAAAAGCAGGTGTTTAGAACAGAAATTTTTATGTCACTACCATAAAAGAATCATGGATTTTGGAGGTCGTTGATCTAGATGTAGTAAAAATGCAACGGGACGAAATGATGTTAGGTCGATTTAGCTACTATTGAGGTTGAGGTGCACATTGATCAGCCGCAAGATTTCGATCACATGACCTTGATGACCATCTTGGTACTGTATCACTAGACCCACACCTACTTTTAAGAACGATGGTATGACAAGAATCTGACCGAATCACGAAGCGAGCTGTACAGACTGGCGCAAGTCGAGTAACCGCTGATCAATCACTTCACCAATAGAAGACGGATACTAAATATCAATGAACCTGTTCATTGGAGTGATAAGGTGCATAAATATGCAGTGCCATTTTCATAAGTGTGCGTAAGGCACAGCCACACGTGTCAAGGCAAACGGAGTCATCAAATCTCTACCATAATGTTAGGGTTCAAGGAGAAAAGCAAACAAACACTCAGCAGTGATACTAGGTAGACGAACTGAAATTTATGAGATCAACGTTCACTTCGACTAGCAAAAACCAACGTCTCTGGATTTGCTGGGAATTTTTCACTGGCGATCAGCATCTCTTATCTTCAACATGAACCCTTCCAAGAATCTGCATGTGGACGAGCTTATTGCCAAACTTCAGAAGTATGGCCTTGAACGCGAAGAATCACTTCCACATCTCATTATATCCGGCGATCTCTCTGATATTGGAGGTTCTGGACCAAAAGATTGGAAGCTGCGTACTCCATTCTCAACAGAAATTGTCCTCCGACAAAGTGAAATCAGCTCCCTCACAGTGAGATTGATCCCTGACTTTTCGCGGCCTGCTTCACAAAAATCCGACATCAAGTCTTTCCAAAAGTCTCTCGCCCATATTGGCGAGCTTCCAAATGCCGTCCAGTTGGCTAGTGCGAAAGTTTATATGTTTCTCGATGCCAAAAATCTACCAGACAAAACACCATGGAAAGATGTTTTGAGGATTGAAATTGAAGGCCCATTACAACCAAACCTTACCTTACTCGATATCCCCAGTCTCCTTGCAAATATCTCCAAGGTGGAAACCGGCTATGAAGAGGATAACGCCGCTTCGATTGCCGAAACAGCATCTTTCACGACTGGCTCCAACACACCCACCCACACACTCATGACCGAGGATTTCATCTCTCGTCGTCGCTCTCTCTCCCACGACACAGTTCCGCACGCTGGAAAGACATTCATGATTCGAGATCGCAATCATGGTGGGATAATCACACTCAAAGAGGGAGTTCTTCAAATATCTCCTAATATCCTTCGAGCCGGAGGGTGCCATTGGACATGCATAGAGCGCGATGGGTGGTTTGGCTTCCGCAACTGCGTCTCCGGACAATTCTTTGGTCATGACGGTAAGAGAAAATATTATTGCAAGGTTACTCACCATCGGAACCATGAGTGGTTCTGTACGAGAGCTCATCCATCGGGTGGACATCTCTTGTTAATGTTGCATGGGGATAAGTTTCGACAAATGAAAATTGGGAATGATGAGACGGAGTTGGTGGAGACGGATGGGGAGGGGACTGCGTGGGATTTTATCGAAGTTTAGATACCGTCATGGTGTCAGTTGTTGGTTGTGGCTTCCCTCTTGAGCAACCAACTTTTTAAATTTGATGTTTGGTCTTTGACTATGATGATCTAAAACATTTTGGGAGATTTATGTTAAGTTCAATTTGGACATCCGGATCCCGATGCATATCTACATTTGCCAGATAAATCGGCTGTTGCTTAAATGGAATTTATTACGGCTCAGGTGAATTAGCACGAGAAGATTGTTGCGCTTTAGATTGGTGAACTCCATTGTTGGGGAAATAGTGCCATTTATTGCGGGGATGGATAGGATAGGCGCGTTAAGAACCACGATATAAATATGTTCTTTACCCTTTTGCTCAGTGCAACAACACGGATATATTTCTACGGCTTTTTAACTTGCTCGCTTGCTGATGTGATGTGATGTTATGGATATTTAGCGATTTGTATCTGTCTATCTATTGTGAACCATAACGAACCAAAGAAAGTGATGTGAAGATGATTGAGGGTCTGAATCTGCTACCAATGCTAATGACTCATACAAATGATTTGCCATTGAAATCCTGCTCTAACAACGGGATCGACTCGGAATTCATTTCTTGCGCTTCGTATCGAGAGTATAGTAGGTGTATCATATACACCCATCACCTAGAACAAAACACTCATCATCACAATATCACTACCCTACACCGAAGATTCAAGCGCTCTCCCATCTCACCAATCTCCCCACCGTCTCCCCCGAATTCCTCACCACACACAAACACCCTTCCCTCAATCCCCTACTCCTCGTCTCCTTAAGCATCTCCCTCGCAAACACCGTCCCAAGAGCGATACCTTTCCCCTCCGCCAAATTATACTCCCCAGTAGTAACGAAGCCAACGAGATCTTCCTCCCCAGGAACCATAGGATGATGTTCCGAGTCATTTTTCTCTTTTGGATATTGTAATGGTGGGTTTTGCAGCAGAGATTTTGCGAGAAGTTGAACGCGTTGGGGTAGTGGTGTGTTGAATGGTATTTTACCGATGTTTTTAAGGTCTTTGGCTTTGGGGTTAGGTGGTGGTTTCTTATGCAGAGACGCGGGAACGAGGGAAAGCCATTCTTGACGGAGAGTGGAGGGGGTGGTGGAAGTAGAGTTTATAGAATCTTCGCTAACGGTTGATTCGGCTGGGAGACGGTATATACGAGCGCTGGGAGTGGCGACGCCACGAGTTAAGAGTGTTAGACGGATAGTAGTGAGTTCAGTTGATGCTGGAAGGTCTGCCACGGGAGATAAAAGTAGAGAAGAAAACGTCCTACTGGAGAGTTGGCTGAAAGGATTCTCGATGGATTTTCCTTTGGACTCAGCAGTAGTTTCTGGTCCATCACCACCACTCGCATTACTCTGTTCGTTGTCAGGTAATCTAGGCAGCCCGGCCACTTTCTCAAAGTCACATGCCCAGCCCAATCCAAGCTCTCCTTTCCTTCCACCCCCAAGATCAAGAGATTTCCACTCGACTCTCTTGCCTTTGGGTCTCTTGTCCCATTCTCGTTTTCTTTTCAGCCTCTGCTCGACCTCCCAAGCGTACCCGGCATTTGTTCCGGGATAATCAGCTGGAAACCATGGAACTCCATGCTCAAAGTGTGATTGCCTCAACTCCTGTAGACCTCCGAAACGAGGATTGGCGCCAGATGACAAGGGAAAGTGCATCAAACCGTACCAAATTGGTAGTATACACTTCCACGGAGCAAGAAGAGTCCAGGTACCTTGTGCTGCTGAGGATTTTAACATTCTTGATGCAAGAAGCATGATTGGTATAGGAGGATCACGTTCTGAGATGGAAGGAAAAGTGCCTGGTGGTGCTAGAGTTTTGCGGCGATTTAAGGCTTTTTGTGAAGGAAGACGAGTAGCTTTATATCGTGTGTCTCGATCAAAGAGGTGTGATGAAGCGGGCGACTGATCTGCCGGCCAAGAAGACAGTAATTCGGCCAATTCGAAATTCGCTTCCTCATCAGCTGGATCTGGAAGTTCAACCTTGCGAGGTGGATATCGAAGTCTAGGATCCATAATTGAGAATGACAATAGAGAATTCGCTGGTAAAGATGCAGGATTGGTAACACCAGCTAGCGAAGTAAATGTTTGTGCATGTGGCTCTTGATCATCTTCGGACTGGAAGTATGGATGAAGTATACCAATTAAAGCTTCTGTTGAACCTGGACCTGTCATTTCGATACTTCCTATCTCAAAACGAAGGTCTTCAAGCTGGACGGTTGGGTGTTGCAATTTCGACAGGCGTAGGAGCTCAGTCCATGCTTCAAGGAATGCAGAAGGATGAATTCTGATCAAAACTTGTCTCATTGACTTTTTCGATACATTGGTAGCATTGCTATCTGAGTCTTCATGAATATCCCAAAACGCGACGGCAGGGCCAATCTGTAGTTTTTGTTCTTTCACTTCTCTGCTAAGCCACCCATTCCAGCTCCTTTTCCCAGCTCTCCATTTTGCGCCCTTTGCTGAATTTACATCCATCTCTGGTATGCCTATGGCCAAAAGAACCTTTCCGATAG